AAGAACGCCAGAACCCCAGAAAACCAGAACGGGTACCTTGGAAAGAAGATTCCATACATGCTATCCAAACGCTGTTTGCCGAAGAGATTGTTGCACAAAAAATCACGTTTACTTGCGTGAAGGAAAAAATTAAGGGCCATCCAATACTGTCTGCGCAAGATCCAAAAAGAGTATACGACAAGGTTCAGGCGGAGTGGCGATTCAAAGCGAAACTGGAAGGCTGCAGCGAAGAAACAGTAAATTTGCCAGAGGAACAGGAAACGATTGACAACCGCGTTAGCAGAATGTTTCAAGCAAAGGAACTTGATCAACAAAGTATTCACTCATCAGATATCATGGCTCCTACCGACACCACTTGGAAATCTCAAGGTCTGTTTACTGACGAGCACGTTCAAACTTTGTTGCGTCTCTTTCAAAGTATGATTAACGGCTCTCCCATTTCAAAGCCAAAAATAACTTCTACTTTAGAAGAAGACAGCACTGGAAGACCCCTGTTAAAAGAATTCACCTTGGCGCAGATTGTCAACAGGTTGAAGTATGAAAGGAAGCAAAAAAGAGAGAAGCAGAAAAGCGTTTACAAAATGAGTTTTAACAAAGGATCCAATTAACTATTATGCAATTATGTAGTTGTTGTCTCATAAGTTGCGTTAACGGAACTTTGTTTTCAGTTTAGAATCCCTATACTTAACAAATTAAAGAGTGACTTTCCCGTGACTTGTTACAGTTAATCAGAGTTATGGCTCGCCTGTTTATGTTAAAGAGGTTTATCGTTCTTATAGAAGTTTATCGCTCCTGTTATTGTTACTATAGTGTGGCGTATGACACATCATAGAATACACTCGAAATTAAGTTTAAGAACTTTGGTATAAGCAATTGATGTATCAGTCTTACAAGCGGCTTTGACCTAATTTTAATAGTTCCTGTTATGTCTTTAAAGATTTCCAGTGACTTAAATTACATTTGATCGACGTGTTTAAAGGCTCCTACTTATCTTCGATCTTTAAGTTTATCCTCCCTGTGGCAGTATAAGGCATTAGATTGAATAATCGAGTGGTGGCTAGCGAAATAAGAAAATATTTTCACGCGTGTCTTTTCAAATTCTAATAATTTTCCGAACCTTTTAAAGGAAAGTGAAGTTATTAGAATTTTAACACAGTGCAAGTGAAATTATTTCCTTATTTCACACGTATGCCATTTGAATACCTTTTAATATTATGATGACAAATTACCCTTACAACCGTGAGTTTTTGACTTGTTTATTGCATCGAGAAATTTCGTGACAAACGTTGAAGTGGCAATTTGCAATTCCACACGAGAAATTATAAATTAACGCTGACATTTCGCAACAAAGTTAGGAAGTAATTTGTCACCCATGGTATTACT